CCCAGATGACTGTAAAAAGGCAGTGGATATGCAGTTCTATGGGCAATGTATCCAGCAACTGCACAACTTCTGGATACAACTAAATGTAAATCTAATGGGATTAATATCCAGAATTAGCCAAGGTGGCGGAGTCACAGAATGTATCGAGGATCGAACATTGCCAATGTCATTCGGCTCTTCAATTTTTCAGGGTCAGATCGTGTTTCTGGGTTCGTCTGGGAACACGGGACGTTGACTTATAAACTGACTAAATATCACATTTCGCTGAACAACGTGCTCAGTATGGGGAGGAGCGCGGATATTCCCTTGCAAAAGAAAGACAGGAACGAGAGTGGAAAGCTCGCAAGAAAGTGGATGTCCTTCTGGGGGGACCTCATTGAGGGTCCCCCAGAAGGACATCCACTTTCTTGCGAGCTCTTCCACTCTCGTTCCTGTCATCGCTTCCATCGGTTATATCTACTTAGGTAAGAACCCTCGTTAAAGCAGATTCCACCAATGGCTCGGAGCACTCTGGAAAGGGGATCTTCAGCGCGGTCCAGAGCCAGTGCGGCAGACGATCTCATTGATCGCGAGATCCAGGGCAAAAGGGGATCTCAGCGCGGATCCGAGCCTTTGCAAAATGTGATTCCATTCCCATAAAAAATCGCGTAGGAAGGACCCTATTGAGAGTCAGAGGACGTGCTAAGGGAATCTCAGCTACTCAATGACTCCCCCCCCCCCTGCAGAAGGAGATCCACTTTCTTGCGAGCTCTTCCACTCTCATACCTGTCACGCTTCCATCGCTTATATCCACTTACGTCAGAACCTCGTAAGAGCAGATTCCAACAAGGTTCGACCCTACTTGAAAGGGGATTCCAAGAAGGCTCGGAGCTCTCTGGAAAGGGGATCTCAGCGCGGTCCAGAGCCAGTGCGGCAGACGATCTCATTGATCGCGAGATCCAGGGCAAAAGGGGATCTCAGCGCGGATATTCCCTTGCAAAAGGTGATTCCATTTCTATAAAAAATCGCGCAGGAGGGACCTCATTGAGGGCCAGAGAACGCGCTAAGGGTTTTTTTCACATTCGCATTCTCATTGAACCAGTGTTGCTTTTAGCTAATGGGAGACCTGTCGTCAGCTGGCGCTAATCCATGCGAGTGTTCCGGGGAGACATTTACGCCGAACTTATCCAACAATGGGATTCCGGCAAGAAATGGCGACAAATCTGATGCCGCGCTTAAGATCGGACCTGCAGATACAGCCGCCACGGACAAATTAGAGCTTTCCGATGCTACATCACATATCGCTGGCCTCGCTATGCCTTCTCGGTAAGCACTTCTTTCACAGTAATCTTTTCGCATTTACGATTTCGTTTATTTACTTGTTTATTTATTTATTCGACTCAACACTAGATGAATGCTCCTTTACTGCTGTATTAGATAAATAGAAGGTGAAAGGATATTCAAACCGGAACACATTAGACGTCTGGTCATTCTTGGCTTACTCGAACTTCCTCATGTTACTGACCCAGCAAGCGTAAGGTAGGGTATCAGTGAGCAGTAAATCACTCAGCGGCATCGACTGAGCTCATGTAGCTGGTTCATTTCAATCCCAGCCGGTCACGGAGTGACTTAATGACAAACCCCCTCGATTGTACATTGCGTATTGTGGCGTAGTGGCGTTCGATTACAAGCCTATGGTCGCTAAATGACCCTCCCGGGAAAAAAAGAAAAGTATATGGGGAAACATCCTAAGTAAGGATCTGCAGCGTCTTCGTTACTTCTTGTGAAGTCGCAAATGTGGGACACTCCTAGAGACTGCGAGTCAGACTACGTGAACAAGGAAGGACGCCTACAGTTTGCTTGAGGGGAGGACTGTCTTCAAAAGTGGAGTGATCATTGCAAATAAGTGCTCGAAGCATTCACGATTCTAGTTTCAGTACCTGTCAGCGTTTGCTTCCCGATGTGTACCGATGGGCAGTCACCGTTGATGGAGGCTAATGACGCCTTCCCATGCGCCAGAGGATGTCCTATGGGTTTCTACTGTGAAATGCAGGTGAACATTGCTTGGATTTTCTTATTGTTTTTTTCCAGCCCATGTGGGAGTTTGTGACCAGTATGCAAAGGCTGAAAAAAACGAGTTGGATTTACTACACTCCAAGTAGAGACTTGTCCCAAACTCGCTCTGCTTCTTTCGGGTTTTCATCGGAAAAGAGATTGCAGCCATTTGTGAAGTTCGTGAAAAGTTTTAAGTTCCGATAAAGTCTTCATTTCAGGACCCCCTACTCACTCCATCCATGGGCATCTGTTGCGCTAATCGAGCCGAACTTCGACTGCTGTACGGGGACGACAATCATGAACATGCTGATCCCATATGGGATCGTAAGACACCTAGAAAGAGTCCTAACACTGCAATTTCCTCAGCAGCTCCTCCACCTCCTTCCACAACACCTGTTATTAATCAAGTAGATACGACAGAACCGTTCCTCAGTGGGTCTACGGAGTCTCCCAATAGCACCTCTCCTGTGACTAGTGGAGCGGACCTTTCGTCATCATTTCCTGAGCCAACTACCTTGCCGGTCGATGCCAATTCAGTGACTGTAGGTGTAGACGACGAGAAATTTCGACGAAACATCTCCTCAGTCTGTGACGCTTGCAGAAGCGCAAGTCACAACCGAAGAAAGCTCGACCAAAGCAAGTACTTCTGCGGAGTCAGCCATGGGAGAAGACCAGACAAGCAGCAGCACCCTGAATAAGGCCGATGGACCGATTGTAGAACAAACAACACCTACCTTGATGCCGCTCCAACCTTTGGATGGCTCCACAGGCCAGGTCACACCGATTGATCCCCCTACTGGTACATCTCCTGAACTTCCCGCATCGGACTCCCAGGTAATGAGTTTAATTGTCGAGGGCCAGGACCTCGTGGAGGGCTCCTCTGTCCCACTCGAGGACGCTCCTATCGTTACTTCAACAGTTGACGACCACACCTTAACAGAAGAGCTTAATGTGGATAGTACCGAGGGAGGAGTTGGAGCACCACAGGTGGAGGAAAGCCCATCGGCACCTGAAGAGATGGTCCGTGAAGTTGCGGTACATGAACCTCTGCTGGGTGAATCTGCCACGAAAGTAGATCAGCCAATCGAGGAGAATGTCGCTGTTGACCCTGTAGGATGTCGACTCTCCCACAAAGAAGACGGAGCAGGACTCTTTGGCAACTGATGGCGAACAAGCGACGTACTCCTGCGATTAGGCAGCCCTATATGTAAGTGCTCTTTCTCTTTGCCTTTGCTGCTCTCGAGCCCAGTTCTCATTTAGATTCCGCTGTCGCTCCGACTCAGTCGATACTCAACCGACAATTCGATGGTATCTTAATGAAAAGGGTGAATGCGAGTATTATCCATGGGGATACTGTCCAGGTTGGGATTACTTTTGGATTTTTTCCAAAAAAATTCCGAGGTAACCTTGTCCATTTGCAGGGGATCGCGTTGTGGACTCGTCGACAATTCGAACCAAAGCGGAATGCGAACGTGAATGTCTGAACGGGGCAAAGAACCGCACAGAAGGTAAGATTTCGTTTTAGTCTATAGATGAGGGCCAGGAGATCCGATTTGTGGCGATGCGCAGAGACAAGTTCGGCATGCGCTGCATTTACCAACTAGTTGAATCGAATCATCGAATCACTGTTCATTACAAATCCATCTCAAATTAGTGTCTTGGTGCGAATGCCGCGATCGCAACGTTACTTGAAACGGCGCATGCTGCTGTGATGCGGACCTCCTGGTATAGTTCTTATTTTTCCGTATGAAGAGGACAGAAAGGAAGGTCATATTCTCCCAACACTGTTCCACCCTTCTAACAACGGATCATGCTTTTTCTTAGTGTCAGGAAGGTTTTCAAACCCTCCGCTATTACATTCGTGGGCCAGCCCAAGAACAAGTAATAAAAGTACTTGCAAGTGATACAGCTTGCGCGACACTCGCACCAAGACCTAGATGATTTAATTGAAGAGACGCTATAGTCAGGGCACCGTACGCCGGGGAATACCCAGCAGGTGTATTCGTTGCTGAAGAAAAGGGGTCATATTTGAACTGTTTTTGATAGGGTTTTTCCTGTTCCACGCTCCCTATCCACAACCTTGGAAGACTCCCTTTAAGGAGTGGGGTCGTATTCGCTCATCGCTTTGAGAGTGGATCGAACTGGAAGAGAAACTACGGGGAGGTCGTATTTTGCCAAAAGTCTCCTCAGCGTCAGGATGTGCCCTGGTTCAAGTACGATACAGTACAATTAGCTAGGAAATGCGAGCTAGCTCCTGCGTGTCGCTGCAGTTTGGATATCCTCACCCGTGCCCTATTTTCTGAGACCGCGTACTGCCTCCTTCGTATATGTAAGTAATTAACTTAATTCTTCTTTCAGTTCTCTCTACCTGGTCTCTGACGACCCTCCCCCTCCCCCCCCAGATAAGAGAGCTGTCGCTGTTATTTATGACTAATCATCGGGTTAAAGATTTTAGCTACCCTTACGTCATTTCGAGGCTGAACATTGTTCCAATTAGCGTTAGCGGGTTGCGTTGCTAACAATCACGGTGTTAATCAAGTCCAGTTATTCTCTCCGTGCTAATGCGATCTAATGGATGTCCCACCCAAGGCTCCTTTTGTTCAAGCAACACAGAAAAAATGGACTGAACTCATTTTCAAAGTCTATTAGGGATTGGAGGGCTCTCACATGGATATTGGACCTACAAGCGAGTTTTTTTTACAAGGCTAGGGTCCTACGACGATTTTGTACATGGGGAGGAGCGGTCGTGGGAAAGGGGGGAGGGGTGGCCGACATGCAGTAGTAAAGTTTTGAGAGCGAGCCATGAGACCCACGTGCACAACGCGTAGCACATTCTTCCCAGAGGCCAGCCTTACCTACTACTGATGACTGAACTCCCAGAAAGGTCACAGAAATTTAGGTGCACACCAATAGCCGGAAGTTTCCCGAGAAAGCTGCCGGGAAGATGAAGAGGTAGTTGAGAGGAGGTGAGCGGCGTCTCATGCTATTCCTGAAAGCTACCTCATCCTTCGTCATGATGAAGAACCGTCTCGGCCCTTTGAACACTGCCCTCGCTCACCGGCGGCTTGAATGCGGCCCCCTGTTGAGAGTAGATTTATCAATCGGGGCTCGTTTGAGTCTCCAGCTAAGAACCTTTAGAAAGAGGGAGCTATGGTGAAAGTGAAACTGGTCACATCTTATCTTTGATATTTCAGACACTCCGTTCGCAGCCCGTCTTCCCGAAGCGACTTTGGCAGGATCGCCTGAACAAGATATCGAAACAGGAACTGATTCGCCGTCGGAAAAGCTGGAATCGAAGGAAAAACCTGAAGAAACGCTGACTCCTGCGCCAGTGACGAACGTCACCTTAGAAGTGTCTGTCAGTCCTGGTCCCGAAGAGAAATCCACCAGTGATCTGTCAGCGCCCGCGCATGACGAAACTGTGAATGCAATGGCGGATCAGGAAGGCTCGATGGAATCCCATTCGCAGGAAGAATCATCAGCCACCACTGAGACCCGTCACAGCTTCAAAGGCTAGCGATAGCTCAAATCCTGCAGTGGCGAAGTTGAAGCCCGGAGTGAGGAGGGTCAGGAATCTTAGCGAGTCTGACTGCAGCAGAAGGTCAGAACGGTAAACCACAGGAAGAAGCTGTGGATGACGCGATGGCTTTGGCAGGGGAGAACGTCCACAACGAAGAGGCCAAAATGAACGACAGCGCGGAGGCCGAGGAACTTGAAAGCACCACACAAACTAGCGAACCTAACCAGACTGAACAAGGATCCGCCACGGGTGCCAAAGGAGTTGAAAATGTAAAAGGTAAGGATATGTTTCATTTTAGAAGTTTTTTGCCTTTTTGTAAAACGAAACTATGAGTGCAATGGCGGATCAGGAAGACTCGACGGAATCCCATTCGCAGGAAGAATCATCAGACTAAGGCAGACGAGTGAGGCGCAGTGGTCGATTTCGAACTCGACAGGACCTCTGCGTCCCTTTCCCTGACCAATGGACAGCGTTCATAATTCGCGACCGGCGATTGCGCCATCCATATGCTCC